AACCTCTTGACACCTTTGGATGAAAAAATATGGAAGATGACACCATTCGACCTTTTCTAATTTTTTAAATGCGTTGTTGAATTGTTAAATCTAGGTGGATTTCTGAATTTCTGAATTTCTGAATTTCTGAATTTCTGAATTTCTGAATTTCTGAATTTCTGAATTTCTGAATTTCTGAATTTCTGAATTTCTGAATTTCTGAATTTCTGAATTTCTGAATTTCTGAATTTCTGAATTTCTGAATTTCTGAATTTCTGAATTTCTGAATTTCTGAATTTCTGAATTTCTGAATTTCTGAATTGTTGAATTTCTGAATTTCTGAATTTCTGAATTTCTGAATTGTTGAATTTCTGAATTTCTGAATTTCTGAATTTCTGAATTTTTGAGTTTCTTAATTTCTGAATTTCTGAATTGTTGAATTTCTGAATTTCTGAATTTCTGAATTTCTGAATTTTTGAGTTTCTTAATTTCTATTCCTTCCAATAAAAGAGAAAACAAAGTTTTGCATAATTTTAAATCGCTGCCGAGGCTAAAAGGAAAAGGTTTAAACTTTGTCGAAACCAAGCCCTTTTTAAAACCGATTCTCCGCTTCTTTTTCGAATATCCTGATCCACTCAGATAATGCGATAGGGATGGTTTGGCAGCAGCAGCTGTCTTCTCGGGAGGGACTCATTCAGATGGATCGTATGTAGAAAGACAATTACGACCTTCTGCCAGCTGTAGAGTGCATACACTTGTTACTTTTCTGTCCATTCATTATGGAATATGTACCGTTCGACATCAAGTTCATAAGACAAATTTCAATTTCCTTCTCACACCTCTATAATTATTTTCCTCTATGTTTCGTGGCCTTCTTGGTTTCAAGGAATTTGTCCTTTTGAGGTACAGAAAACATACAATAAAAAAAAGAAGAAGAAAAGAAACCCTCCTATATAATAAATCAAAACCGTCTCGTTTTCTTACATGTTCTTCGTTATTGTTACCTCCTTCCCCCCATCCGTTTAATATCTGTTTTTTCCTTTTTTCTTCCTGTCCATAACCTACATTTTTCGATTCGTGTGGCAATACGATAAGCTTCTTCTTCTTCTCCTTCCTCTCATCTTGATTCATTTCACTTCACGAAATTTTTTTTTGGCGTCCTGCCATCCATCCACAAACAGTTTTGCCTACCAGTTTTCTAATGAGATTTGCGTTTCGACTACCCTTTTGCCTATTTATGTGTTCTCTTCTTCTTCATCATCTCCTTACTTGTCAATCAAAGACACCACCGCCCCAAGTATTGTGTAAATAAGTAGGGATGGGTAGGAGAGGAGGAACCTGCAACTTTTGGATTTTTTGGATTCGGCAGGTGACGGTGACTCAATGTCAACTAGGATAGTATTTTTTCATTGCGATTGAACAACACGTTTGGCTTTTTTTTTGGATCATCAGATTTTAAGGTTTTGAAACTTATCTGATTCTTATGAAAAATATGGTCACGCCCTTTTCTGCAAGTCATAGGATTATTCTGAAATGTTTTACGATGTTCTATAATTTGTCTTATTTGCAAAAGTTGTTTTGGATTTCTGAACAATTAGAAATCGATTTTGTAAAATTTTTCATTACTATACTTCGTCTGATTTTTTGAAAATTACCTATGAGTGATATTTTTGGTTCAAAAATTTAAAACTGAATTTAGGGATTCAGGATTCCAGAAATTTTCGATTTTCACTTTTTTGCTCGGTTCTTGATCTCGGTCACTGTTGTTTCTTTCAAAAATTTGAAATCCTAAATCATATTCCTCTCATTTCCTTTATTAATCCTTTATTTTTGGATCTCAACTCCTAATTGGCTATCAGTGATCTGATCAAAAGCATAGAGACTAGATAAGACGTGATACGCAGACAATACTTGGCGGCATATGAGCAATTGAGCCGAGCAAAAACAGTCATTGTGTGTATTTTAAAAAAAGCGAAACGAGTCTTCGATCCTCTCGATTTCGCCAATGACGGCTGCCAGCAGAGACCACCGGTCAGATTTTTGAGGTCTTTCTTTTGCCAATGATAGTGGAGAAAAGGCAAAAAGAAGAACAATACCCTTAACCTTCCTTCCTTTTCGGTTCTTTGCCCATCCGACATATCCTTCGTTTTCATTGGTTTCTTTGTTCACACTTTCGACCGTCACTAAAATCCAATTGGATTTCCTTCCTCTCCAACCGTTCTCAGACCCCACGTACAGTTTCCAATGTGTCTGGTTATTTTTTTAGAACTTCTGACCTCGAATTCCGAACAATTGTTGTGAATTGTGCCACAGTTATTCACCCTTGTTTTCTTCCCGTCATAATATTTCTCACCTTTTAACTTCATAATCGTCCTCACTTCCCAAAACATTGCATGTTTTTAGAAAATTCTCGGGTTAAAATCTATTCATGGAGATATTAGACATACGGCCGTCAAAATATGGGAGTGTTCGAGGTGAGTAGTTTTTGTTCTTAATTTTGGGATTCTGCGCTTTTCGTTAGAATCCGGAGATCGCAACCCTATAGCTCAGCCGATGACCGCTTGGCTCCGCTAAGTGTAGACCCCGAAGTTCGATTAAACCTTCAAAATATAGACAAGAAAACTGGGTTGGTTCATTGAGAAGTATTGCATATTGTTGTGTGGATCTGTTGTGGCAATGGACTTACTGTAGCATAATTACAGAATCGTACAAAAATGCATAATATCTCGATTTCTTCAGTAAACATAGTCAAGTTTCGGGTCCTGAAAAATTTTTCTAGTATTTTTCTAATAGTCTCAAAAATTGGAATCACACTAATCAGTTTTTAAAAGTGTGCCGACAATGCCAAAATTAGCATAGGGCTAGCATAAAAATGAGAGTTCGGGAATTTAAAAAATCCCATTACAAAACTAAAGCTTTGATTTAGTTTAGTATGCTATAAATTGAAAAAAAAAATTTACGATAATTTTGAGCTCATTTATTTTATTTCGCGTTAAAGACAACTAGAAATGATCAACTGACATAGATAATTCTTATTATAACATCACAATGATTTGTCAGTTAATAATTTTTGATATCTTACACAGGAACCGAGGTAACTTGGCACATACCGTAAAACCTCTAATAGAACGACACCCGGATCGTCCACTT